AATCTGACAAGGGCGACGTAGTTTATTTTATAGTCAAATCAGCTTTGTAAATGTCTTCGCTAGAATAATCTAGATTTTCTATTGAGGGATTAAAATATAGTATTAAATCGGCGTAGTGCTAACAGCATGGGTGTGCGGGTGTCCACGTTGCATTCGACTCGTGGAAAGCCACAACAATTTTATTCACGTTTCAGGGTCGTGACTGGAGTCCGTCTTGTAAAGTACGGTCGAGTGTTCCATCTTCAGATAAGCGAAGGCACGCTTGGTGAAAGAGGCGCAATAAAGCCTAGCAGCTGGGTGCCAATCCAGAAGTTTGATCCCAATGAGCCGGGCTTGAGAGAAGGCGTAGATTACCATACCCTCACGTACGAGAAGAGAGCTGTTGATCTGGACGACCTGGATTCACCCATAGGCCATGTTTTGACCGGCGTCCGGTAAGTCCAAATTAAAGAAATAATATGATATTTGTCATTATAATAGTTGCTGAAGTTCTATGTGATGTTTGCAGGTTCAAAATAATTGGTGCCCACTTGCACTTCGAGATCCGCTCGACGCCATTCAATTACACCACTGGACGCCTTACACCAGAAAAGAGCTTGTGGATTAGCAACGATAATACCGAAGGTGCTGAGAAGCCGAGGTACTTTCATGTCTTTTTTGATTTATTTTATTTTGAACTCCATTTTCAAAAAAAATAAATTGATGTTTAAATAACTATTGGGTGGAGTAGACGAATAATGATAATTCAGACTGAATTTTTTCACTGCGGTCAGTCTGAACGTTGATCAGCCATCTACGCAAGACAGGATTATAGTGCAAGAGATTTAACAGGTGCACTCTCTATTCCCTCACACTGATAGCCCGGATGGGACATCAATCCGACACGACCGGAGAGTTGAGGCGCAGGACCAACGGATCTACGTGCTTTCCGAGGCACGGGTTTGAAACACCGTCAACTTTCTGACTCTGCGCTGCTTACCTAGTAACTGATTTTGGCCCAAACCGAGGTTAAGAACCCACTAGACGCAGACTTGATTGACTGATACACGATGTTATGGCAACTAGAGAATATTCCCAACAATTCCTTGATAAGCTTTCATGTTATCTTGAGTTACTAGTTGCATTTTATCAAATTATTCTATATTCATAAACTTTCGCCTTTTCAGAACCCGTCTTAACCTATACCGGCCGGACATACCGACCCGAAACTTGCTGCCACTGCCCGTGGACTCGAAACACGACCAGTACGTGGAGTTCGTTAACACGGATTTCGAGGCGGACGCCGCACAAACCACCGTGCCATTCATTGACATACAACCCGTGCAGCCAATGAAAGGTACGCAGTAGTTATAAAACCTTAACTGAGTTAACTTGTACAAACAAGCTTTCCATTTGTTTTCGTTACCGTAAACCTGTATAAATTTATTATTAGACGTGAGTCAAATATATGTGATACTATTGAACTATTTCTTTCATACAACGGTAATTTTTAATTTATTTTTGTTGAATTTTACCCAAGGGTTAAAAATTGGCGTTTAATAATTTACATTTAAATACTTTTCCTAGATTAAACCCGATACCACACTAACGAAGTTATATAAAATAACAGCTTTGTTCTACTTAGACGTGGAGTTTGTTTCCAGAGGTCTTCTTGATTTTTAATTAATTGTTGTTCAGGTGCAGCTCTAACGAGCGGTGCGGGTCTGATGCACCGCGGTGCACCGGGCTCAGGGGGCTTCATTGCCGTGAAGTTGTTCACTTACGACTACTCCCGACACGTGAAAGCCGAAGTGCCGCCAACCGCATACGAAGAGAACGGCGACACTACGGAATTTACACCTATCGTCAACTAGTTTAAGATTCAATTTTGTATACTCAATTTTTCCTAATTGTAATGTAATGTAATTTCTTAAATAAACATCCTCCTCCTTGAAGGCTTTCTTTTATATAACCTTTTGGGTTAATGTCGTTTAAAACTTTCCATATACTAAGAAATCACGACTGTTTTAGTAGGTATGTATACTAACTCAAAAAAAATATTTTAAGTTTATGATTTAGTCATTCTTTATTAAGAGTGAAGCCTAGTCGGATCAGTATGTTGAAGTTAAAATTGGTCGTTAATATATATCATAATAAATTAAAGAACCGATCACCGATGGAGAGAAAGGTTCTCGAATGGCAACCTTGTACTGTGATGCGCAGTGTTGACCAACCCCTCTACTAGATAAAGCGACGACCTGATGAAACACGCAAGCAGTCGATGGATGCAGGTGGCTCGAGACCATACATTGTGGCAATCTATGGGAGGCCTATGTTCAACAGTGGACTAATGATGGGATGTAGTGATTGTGTGTGTGAATCATAGAATACTAAATACACAATACAATGGCAGTCAACCTTATTTTGTAGGAGGATCGGCGTCGATCGGAGCACACATACAAGCAATTACGTCGTATTATCAGTTATCACAACTACAAACACATTTTAGACTTTTGATTAATGTTTCTGACACATAAATATTTCTTTATTTTTGTTTTTAATATTCACAAAATATAAATAGTTTCGACTTACTGGTTGTAGAATTTGTCTCCTTTATTTAAATTCCATTTCCCGCTGTTCATTCGACACGAATTATTGTACAATTTGCTATGTTTTAAATAATTTGCATGCAGCGACGCTTGACATGAAAACTGGAAAGGATTGATTTTGTTGACATTTATAGATGTGCTACACGGGCTCCGCCCACTCCCCCGTTCTATTGTGAACGTATTATAGTATTCTATGGTGTAAATCTAGTCATTTTTGTGGAGTTTAGGTCCAATCGGCAATCGGGCATAGCTTAGATCATTAGTTGATAAATACCACAATATAAGGAAATACAGAATTCTATAACAAACTCCCATTCGGTAGTTCAAAACAACAAGTTAGTCGATTGTAAGTGGAGACGATTCGCTTCGTACAATTACTACTATACTTAACTAAATCGAAGAAATACCTTTTGATGTTTCACATCAATCATTTCGCAGTAACTTTGTACTACTCACAAGATTTAAAATATTCTTTTACGTAAATTCAAAGAATTTTGAAGTTATCTATATTTCATTAACATGACAGTTCTAAATCTCTAATTTAAATTCGAATCTTTCAAACAAAGCACAATATAAAAAAATTAACCAGAGTCAACTTTTATGCTTGACGTTGTTTCAATGATATGTCGTTATGCATTTAATAAAAATAAAACAAATTTTACTTTGTATTGTTATGCACTTATAATAAATTACGGATTTTATCGCATTTAATTCTCGAAAAATTAGTTTCATTTCATGTGTAGTGTACAACTTAAATATAAGAATTCATTAAGTATTTCTTAAATTTGGTTTGGTATTCGCATTCGTTTCAAAAGTGACAAAGACTCAAAGTGACAAAATGATTCCACCAACAGTAACCGACAAAATATTCAAGGATTTTTATTTCATAAAACAAAACGTTCCGTTATAACGATTATGAGCTGACAAGCAGTTAACTGCTGGATGCTTAATTTAAAATTGGTCTAGTAGTAATGTCTAACTACTAGCTATTATTTATTCATTTATTCCTCATGCATTAAAGGGGGGACTTTTGACATGAAAAAATTTCTTGTTATTATAAAGCGTCTGTCTGCAATTACCTGTCTTTTATTGAGTTGAATTTGCATTTTATTAAAACACAAATAACCATTTTTAAATATTTTTCGTCTGTCTCTCTCAGTCTGTCCGGGCTAATCTGCGGAATGGCTGAGCCGATGGTAATGACACTTGTCGAACATATGGGAAGCAATACCAGGAGTGATATAGGCTGTATTTAATACGAAAAACTTGATTTTTTTTAAATTTATAAATTTTGGTATTCCCATATTGGAGATTTTCTTAACGTCAATCTTACTGGTAAGACTGCTAAAAAAATTAATTTCTTCCCAATAATCTTACCAAATAGTATTACAAGTAAGATTACTAGGATCTTTTACCAAGTAGACCTAACTGGTAAAACAATACCACTGGGTGAGAAAATTCTAAGTATGTAGTTCTACTCTATAAAATAGATGATTTTTTATCAGTGTACACCACGGACTACACATAGCACGATTTTGACACCTCTCTCAGTACTTTATAAATTCATGTAATCGACGCATTCACACCGTGTCGGTTAAGGGTACTTTTAAGTTTAAGTTTCTAAAAGTTATAGTTTTTACATTTTGTACACTAATGCTGCTTATATTGACTTCTGTTCCCCTAATACTCCTGACACAAACGTATATAAATGGAGCGTCCATGTGAGCAAACAATGAAGCGCTAAAATTCTATCCTGCGCACACTGGACTCCAATTGGACTGACCGCCGTGATCGAAATTCGATCTGGAGAACCAACTAACTGGCTTTTTAACATTTATGCTTGCTAATTACTATTTCTATCAATCATAAAAAAGAAAACATCAGTCGAATTAGGCGAAAAACCTTAAAACGTTTTGAGCCCTAGTTTGTGAGAGACTGGTGCCTAATAAAGGTATTAAACAATACCTGTAATATAGGTAAATAGGTCATACCTCTAGGGTTATACAATTATACATTTTTAAATTACATGTTTGTATAGTATATTGATGAGATCATTACATTCATTGTATTAGTTACGAGAATATCAGTATTTAATAAAATGAAGGATATTAATTTTAATGCATAATTTTGTAAAAATATACGTCAGTGTAGATACTGACAAAAATTATACTTTATGGAGTAGAACTACTAAGAATTTTCTTACCCAGTGGTTCTCACCAGTTAAGTTATACTTGGTAAGAAAACGATTTGGTAAGACTATTGAGAAGAAAATGTCTCAGTAGTCTTACAAATAACACTATTTGGAAAATGGAATTGATAAAATATATATGGTCTTTGATGGTAATCTAAAAATTTAAATAACGCAACATACATAACATTGATACGCGAGAACGTCGCGAGTTATATTACAATCTAGAGGGTAGCACTAGTTAATGTTGCATCTGCTTGCCTTGTTATCTGTTAAGGATAAAACCTTAGATAAAATGGTTGTACTATTATCTAATTACGATAATCATAGCCAACACTAATCAGTGCTAAACTCAGTTTACTTAGTTTTACATTTGGTCTTACATCTAGCAATTATATTTTTTATATTTTTGTTTATGTGCAAATGAAAGTTGTCTATCATTTGTTACAGTAGCAGATCCTTAGAGTAATTACATACATACGTATGCATAGAAAGAACCTACAATTGTTCAGAAATTGAGTCAATATACTTGTCTTGCTTTTTCTTATTTAATTTTCAAATAAGGCAAAAAGAGACAAACTAATGAAAGATGTTGGGTGTTATTCATGCGTGGAAATAGAAATCCCAAATAGTCATATTTGGTCTTTTTATACTACGTCAAATATGATAGTAAGTACACTCGTATCTTTATACTTACTAGAAAAATGAACCTCCCTATTGTAGTAGTATATACGTGACGTTACTTTACAAGACAAAACGTGTTTAATTTATAATTTTTCTCATAGAAGCG